GGCCGGGATTAAAACCTGCCACCTGGGGTTTGTAGGCCGGTGCCTTGCCTTGGAGCCACTGAAATGCCAAAGAAACCGGTAGTGTAGTGAGCCTGATGCATGACCGGTCATTACCTGATCAGGTGTATCTTGGGGGGCCGGGGGACCTATGAGCTTGTCTGGTTGCATGCTTCTTGACCTTGAGCTCTGTCGGGTGCTGTACCTGCGTGCAGTGTTTTCTCTGCCCCACGGGCCATTCCACTGGAAATAAACGCCCAGAGCAACTACAAACTTTCGTAAAGCAAGATGTCTTGCCTTGGCGACTTTGTCTGCACGCATCAACTTGTATATTTCATTGTCTCATGCCAGCATCTCATTTAGGGGTATTCAATCGCATTGCTTCCAGTTTGCAAAGAGGTAGCCATTCCTGATGCATACCAGACCGCCTCAAGTCTTGTCGCTGAACCGTCCAACCAACTCAAGGCTTGTTTCATTAATCATAGTAAATAACGAGAAGTATCCTAAGAACCCGGTACCGAGAAGAAAGTAGTGTTTATGGCACAAAATAAAATGTGCAGCGTTTTTAGTCAACTTTGTAGCACTTTCAAGTTTTTTCTAGATGAGCCCTTAAAAACTTTATTTTAAATTGTGGTATTTGATCTTGTACCTTGAGATTCAAAAACCTAAATTTGAATTCTTCAAACATGTATAGCGAAGAAATTCGAAATTTTCAAACTTTTCATATTCAATCTGTAAAGAGAGTTGAAATCTTCAAACTTGAACTTTCAGAAACTTTACATTATCAAACTTTTCAAATTCGAAACACAGCAGGGTTTGAAATTCGCAACCTTTTCAAATTCAAACCTTAACTCCTGCAATCTCGGCAGGTTTGCGACATCCCTAGTTATGATTTTATCTAGTCAGGTAGTTGGGCTAAATGGATGTAGAAGTTGCGACAGTAGTTTTTCCGTCTGCTGCTAAGTATCCAACGTCTGAAAATAGCTAATGACACAGCACCGTCTGAAACCACCACGCTGCAGTGACGTTATTGAGTAGCAATCGTCGCTCAGAATAAAGCAGTGGGGAACACGTTTGCCTGGACAGCAAATTCGCATGTCTAGACATTGTACAGTCAGCACAGAATGAAACCATCGTCACAGGCTGCTCCACTGGAGGGCCCCTGAGAACTAATGAAAATGTGCTTTGGAGCGAAAGTGCAGGTCCTACTAAGGTGTGCTCGACTCTCGCGCGACATATCTGGGACTTCCGCGTTTCGCCGGTGGTCGAGGGTCGAGCACAGCTTAGTAGGACACGCACCCTGGCACCCCGGTGCATTTTCATTAGTTCTCAGGAGCCCTCCAGGTGGAGCAGCCTGTGACGATGGCCACGCGCTGCGGCGTTCGGGTTTCATTCCGTGCTGACTGTACATACGCTCAATGGCGCCATAAATTATACATCTGTCGTATTACCTACATCCGGCCCGCACTCATTGTTATACATTTCTAAATAGTGTTTTTCGTGCACATTCACCCCTGCGAGAGGTTCATTCTCCGGTCTTAGACAACTGAAGGAAGTTCTGTCCCTTACTTGCTTTGTGCTGCTGGGTAGCCTCTGAAAAAGAAATGCTCTAGCACAGCTAGGTGTATAGTGCTTTATTATAGATATTCAGGAGAGCAACCAGAATTTAAGTCACCTCACTTAGACATGGTACAGGCTGTAACGTGGGTTTGCTTTACAGAATTGTTATTTTCTAAAAAAAGATAAAGAAAATCAGATTATGGTTGTAATGCGTGTGTTATACCTTGTCACTGCCGACATAAAAAAACATGGTTTGCTTTTGCAATGCAAACTATAGAGATCGACGCAGGTAGATTGTCCCATTTTGTCTGAACTTGCAACTATGCACACATAACGTCTTGGTCAACGCAGGGCTAGGGAAGAGAGTTGAGATGCAAAGCCCTGTAAAGACAATGTCGCATTGCTTTCTTTTTTTTTTAGTCTCCATGTGTAGAATTGTGTGGCATGTAGACTAGCTTGTCTGACTGTTCAATTTTTCGACTAATGTATTTATACTCTTGTCAATACCAGCTGCCATGGCGATGGGCTACTCTTCGACGGGAACATGCACATCTGAAAGAGACCTGGCCCGATGAGCATCACAGCTACAACATTGCTGCCACAGTACCTCTAGATACAATAGTTATTGGCTTATTCAAGTGACCAAGTGGTGACAAGGGAATCTCGTGGCCACCTTCAGCAGGTAGGTTTGTCAACAAGGTGGCAGGTTTCACTCTTTGTTCAATTCCTATGGTGCTGTCACTGCCATTCAATGAAATGGAATGAGGATAGAGGTACTGTAAAAGCCTTGAATTAATGTTTTTTCAGCACTCAATTTTGATGAACCTAAATACTGGGGACATGAAGCGTCACACAAAAATTCCAAACAATATTTGATTTCTACAAAACCATGTTGCTAGTTGCGAATTAGTTTTCTCAATTTAATGTGCGGGTTATTGCAGAACCGCCACGCGCTTTAACAGATATTAAACACAAGCATGATGTTGTACTGCTTTGTCATTTGATGGTATCACCTATCGCCATCCCACACCTTCGTTTCGGGTGCTACGTATCTTGGATAAAGGTTTTATGGCTATTTAGTTCCGTTGTTTGTAGCTCATGAGAGAATTAAATGTATCTCATTTCCTGACCTGGCCTATGTACCGTCGCACAACTGGTATACTCCGCTCACCCCTAAGCTGATGGTGCATTGGAAGCTACGTGCTTGCTGGACCAGTTGTACGCCCATCATTTGCCATCTGATCAGACATCCCCGCCTACATCCATGCGCCAGGAGCAGGGTCCGGTGACGAGAGGAAGGCGGTCGATAGGTCCAGTGAATGTGTTGCTCCCATCGCACTGTCAACTTGGTGGTGAACAGAGCATAGGAAACAGCTCATTGCATTAGCACTAAATGACACAGAGCAGGTTTATATGATATGTAGGCTCATATCTGGCCTCTTATTGAGTGCCACATTGGAGACCTGTGGCCAGAATCAAAACATTTAAGATGGAACCAGCAGTAACTAACTGGATTGATTCCCACCTAACAAATTCAAGCCAAAGTGTGGAAAGCAGCGGTAATGTTGCAAACCCTCTGCCAGCATATTCAGCTGTAGCTCACAGTTCTGCTTTAGGGTCAGTCTTGACATATATAAATGACGTACTACACAGCACGCCCCCAGAAATACAGGTCGGACTCTGGGGACGATTGTATTATTTACTCACTGATGAGCACCTTGGATAAGCAAGCATCATTAAATAAGTATGCTAACCACATAAAGGAATTGTGTGTAATATTTTCAAGGTGTCAAAGTCTATCATATAGACTAACCAGATTTTTATTTAGCAAAGTTTACTGCAAGGTAAATATCACATCACCATTCACCAAGTTTCCTTTTCTTTCACATATATATATATTTTTCTAATTCATGCTTTGTTGTCCACCTTTCACCCTGGAATAGTGCTTTTACCCTTAAAGGGATAGTGAACAGAAATTTCGAGCTCACAAAACAAGGGTAAACGGATAGGCGGGACGCTGCAAAACCCCAAAACAACACTCATACAGCGATATCTCTAACGGATCTCTGTATTTTTGGAAAAGAAGTGTGCGAGTGAACACGGCCGACGAGACAAGTCACGTCACGATTCCCGTTCCCTCTCCTTCTCGCTACGTCCCTTCAAGCTAGTGAACTGAAGCGAGAAGGAGAGAAGCGAGGCTGCTTCCCCTCATTCTGCAATTCTGCCGGAGGACAACAACGTCAAAGACCGTCACAGATGGCCGCACTTTTTTTTCAAAAGAGCGGCCATCTGTTTGAGATACTAATGTACAAGTCATGTCTTGGAGTTCCTAGCGTTTTGTTCAACGCTCATGCATCCTTATTTTGCGTAATCCGAATTTCGGTTCGGTATCCCTTTAATGGGGCACTAAAGTGTATTTTGAAAGTCTCGTTCTATGGTCATACCTCAATCTGCGAGCACTAATCATCCTAAAAAACCAGAAATTACATTCATTTGCTGCAAATTCGTATCTTAAAAAAGTGATCGAAGTTCCAGACACTTACCATCGTCAGAGAATAACAGATGGCGCTACCGAACCTTGCTGAATATGGTCGAACGACGGACGGTGCGTGTCAGCCACTCGCGAGCGATGGGTTCCTGCGTGGACGAGCACGACTGGTCGGCAGCTTGTCCACGGTGGACTCCATCGCTCGCGAGTAGCCGACACGTGCCGTCCGTTGTTTGACCATATTCACGAAGGTTCGGTAGCGCCATCTGCCATTCTGCGCTGACGCGAAGTGTCGAGAATTTTGATTGATTTTTTTAGAATGGAAATCGGCCGCAGATGAATGTAATTTTTGCTTTTTAAGGATGGTTAGTGCTCGTAGATTGAGTTATAACAATAAAACGAGGCTCTCAAAAAGCACTTTAGTGCCCCTTTAAGACATGGCTGCCCTGTGGCAAAGCGACATAAGCAGAATTGCAATGCCTACTCCACGGGTGTAGCTTCTCGGCAGTGCACCAGTGTGTGGTGTGAGAAGCGCACTCAACGGAGATAATTAGACTGCCCGAACATACCACGTACAATGAGAGATATCACGAAACATCCGAGAACTGAGTCATGTTCGGTGTGTAAATCAAATCAAATCACACTTTATTCTAAGCAATAACCGGAAGTTCTAAGCGATTCACACAATGTTGCAGGAACAATCTGGCAGTACTGCGACGCCTGAACTATTAGTTTCGGTAGATACAAACGAAAACTCCCTTATGGTGTAGTGTAGGCATAAATTCATTACATTTTGGTGAAATGTAGCTTTGGCGGAGCATGCACGTCAATGCTTTTCCCCTTGGAAGGCATTCTTGCACATTCCGATCCAAATTTCCCATCTTAAACTTTGTTCCTTAGGTAGCATGCAGCAGGACTTTAAGGGATAACTTGCTGGTTGGGAAGTAACTTTGTGGCTAACTTAAAAGACCCCTGAAAAGAAAAAGAAAATGTTTTTTTTAAGCAGTCTGGTTGGGACACATGTGTTAAAAAAGAAATTTTACCGAGCAATATTGATTGGGAGAGATTTAATTGAAATTGTTTGCGAAGTCCGTGACGTCACGGGTCATTCCAAGATGACCATCTCGATCGTAAAGGCGAAGGCGATCGACCTCCCCTCCACGCTCCTGAAATGCCAAGAGAGAAAACAAGTGGTAAGGACGCGACTGCCGACTAAATCGGACGTGACTGCCGACTAAATTGCGTCTCGCGCCGTCAATATTGCTCTAAAAAATATTTTTTTCACATAAATTTTTTTTTTTGACATGTGTGTTTCAACTAGATTGTTAAACTAGATTGTCTTCTCAGGGGCCCTTTAATAAGGCGAGTGCCCCACTCCCATTCAATGGATTGATTGGGACGCTCCCAGAACAAGCATAGCGACCTACAATCTGTCGTGCATACAGCATGTTTCATATCTCCACGTTTGAATTTTTCCTTTTCTGCACATTGGTTCAAGAGTGGCTTGGATTGACTGCTTGGTCTTCCTTTCCCCATCAGGCAGGCAGTCTACAGTCTACTTCAAGCATCTGCAATGCTACACAGAGGGAACGTGCCAAAGGCCTGGTTGATGGGCAGGATCGGGCTGCTCCATAGAGTTCTATGCAATCGACCTCTGGGAAGCAAGCGTCTGCATGATCAAGTGTGGCTTCTTGGCAGATGATTGCCTGCAACACTGGTGTTCATCAACATATGTGGTGACTGTCGAGAAATATTTCTCGGATGCAAGACCCCGAACTGCACCTGGAACTCTGATGTAGCTTGTGCACGCTCATTTGATTACCTTCTGAAGACTGTGCCTAAAAGAACTGCTGCAGAATGGCGATTGAGATGAAGGCGTTACAAGATGCGTCATAGGAGCCACCATGTACTTGTGCTGATTGTCTCGATCCCGGTGTGGCTCGCTCTAGAAGTTCAAGCAGAGGGGGAAAATGTTGCTTTTGTGCTAACGTCCCAACTTGGAGTTCTTTGAGTCTCCCTCGACTGACATGCTAGTGAGCCGCAGCAGAACAGGCATCTGCGGTGCCCGCGTTCCTCTGCTGTAACACTGCCAGGATTGAGGCCAGGGGTTCATCCATGATTGTCTATCTGGGAAGGTGTTGCTAATTCTGGGAAAGGCCTCGCGAGGGATGTATAGCATAGATTTGTGTACTTTGAGTAGAAAATTCTTATAGCGTTGTCCCACTAGATCGACAAACGCCGATTTTCGTCCGGCGACAGCACGAAGTTTTGTGTCGCTGATGCTGTTCCACTGCAACGACCAACATCTGCTACAAGCGCCGACAAACCATCAACGACGGACGAGTTGTTGTCTGTTGTTCAACTTGAAGCGCAGCAAGCAGTCCCACCGAGGAACATCTCTCGGAGACAAACTTAATTTTCTTACCCACTTCTGCCTTCAGTTGCTGTCTTCCCCACCCTCCCATTCCTGCCGTGACTCAGTCCTTGGCGGCCACTGATCGTTCCTGCTCCCGCAGTTTCGATTCCTGGATTGCTCGTAGTGGTCGCGGGCACGGCTTGCTTGCTAGATGTCGTGTTGCAAAAGGGAATTTGCTGTGGCTGGTTTTGCTCGCGAAAACCTGGTGCGCGAGTTGGTGCTTCAAGATGCCGAAGTCTACACCCCTGCATCAGGATGGATACACCCATGTGCGAGGACTGACCAAAGTAAGACCGCTCACCACGAAGTAGGACACGACGTTCCATCAGTTCTGCGGCAAGCCATTCCGGCAAAACGAGAGACTTGTCATCCGTTCTGTGATTGTCCCTAATAAAACTACCCCCGTATTGTCCCTCATAAAACGCCTTCCCTTGGAGGCGTTTTATGGGGGAACAATGAAATTCCCGTGAAATTCCGTGGCGCGCACCTGGAATGCTTCGAACGACCCAAAAAAAGGAACGATTCAGGAATTCTAGTTCGGAAAAAGTTGGGTGTCGATTGTCACGACTGTTTTCGGAAAGTCGCCAACGGCAAATGAAGGCAAGCGGAAGCTTTAAAGGGATACTTCAACGAAATTTGAAATATTTCCGTCGTGTTCAAAAATAGGTTGAATATGATCCACAATATCCGTAAATGACAATCACACGTTTGTATTTTGAGCCTGGTGGCTGTATTTTTCGTTATAAACGGCCCACTCTGGCAAGCGCTCGGAGAAGGCCCAGCGGAGACCATGTGACATCCAACGCAATCGTGACGTAGGTCGTCTCAAGACGAGCAAAGCTACGGCGAGGCTGCCGTCGAGATGATGGCCTAGTTGTTCCAGCTTGTTCCAGCCACCGAAGCGGCTGCTTTTGTACAAATTTTGAGTGACAGGTTAATCTTCTATAATCTTGTAGGGGGACAATAGCGACTTCTGTGACACACAAAAGGCATTCTCGGGAAGAGGGGAGTTCCCCCTGCCCCTCTTCTCGTCGTGGCCGGAGGCGAGACAACCTCCGCCACTAGCTGCCAAGGTTGCTAGACGGGCATTACAAGCGAGGCGTTAGCGACATCCACCAGGTGCTCTTTGCTAATCGTTTAATTCGTCTTAAAATTCCTTTTCATGACTTTTTTAACACGATATTGGTATGTTCGATTTGGCGGTGCTTTTTTGAACACATATAGACCAAAAAGTGAGCGCCGAAATTTCGTAGTAGTATCCCTTTAAACAAGGAATAAAGTCATCGTCTCCACTTTCACCGTGTTTGTCGGCGCGTTTGACGCCCAAAAAGCAAAACAAGAAAACCGCGTCGCCATACTCTGTCTATTTTGAAGTGCTGTTGACAACTCTAGTCCCACTAGGAAAGAAGTTTCCTTGTCCCCGTGTTCTGCTCCGTGTCTGCCAGGTGGGACAGAGGACTCCGACAAACAGGCTGTTTGTCAGTGTTGTATGTCGCTCATTGTCGTCTGTTGCTGTCGTTTGTCGCTCTAGTGGGACGCGGCTATTAGGGACTCGGCCTGGGGCATGTTAGGGGTGTGTGCGTATAAGTCGCTGGTCGTAAGAACCAGCAGCATTGCATTCGTTGTGCTCAGTGTCCTGGATTGTCTGAATCTGCCTGTAATTTATGGGACCTTTAGAACTTCAGCAATACACAGTGATGACATCAGCAGCTGGAAATTGATGGGACCGAAATAAAGATGACAAAACTAGATTGTAGCTGGAGTCTATCACTACCATAGAGAAGCTCTCAATAGCATGGACTTTGGATTCACACAAGAATGTCCCGTGGGTAACAGGATTTAATGCACAAGTAATTCTGAAGATGGCTTTAATGCTTCCGTTCTAATTCCCATGGACCTCCACAGGCTGAAAGGGCAGGTGACATACCTATGTATCAAGTGCAGAGGAGGGAACAGTGAACAAAAAGGCACCACGAAAAGGCCCCCATCTATTGAAACCGAGTTCTGTATGGGTTTTTATTCTCTGCTCACCTCCAGTGCTGATCAAAATAACACGACGTGAAATCATGATAGGCGTAAGAAACAAACAGCTTGAAACCAATTCGCGTCCTTTTAATTTCACGAAATTTGGTATGCGCCAAATAGCCTAAAACTGGTACAAATCAAAGCAGTCTGTGCAATAAAACGTGAAAATACGGCAGAAAAAAGATGTCGCTGGTCTGCCGCTGGCGTGGCCTAAGAAGAGGGGAGGAGCCTGGGAGAGGGGAGGGGGAGGGGCTATTGCGGAGCGCCAATGGCGAGGTGCGCGGAGGGGCGCGCGCCGGGAAGCAGGCACGGGCGCTGCGGGCTCCTATTTCAGTTGCTTTGTCGGAGTACAGATGGCGCTACGAGCGCGCTGTCGCGTGGAGTGGGGAAGACAGGGCAGACGGGCGCACCAAGGACGCGGACACCTCTTTGAGTTGCTTTGTCAGAGTACAGATGGCGCTACGAGCGGCGCAGTGCGCTCGTGACGGTTGTGCGCCTTTGCGCTACGCGGTGAAACGGGCGCACGGTCGCACTAGCGACGCCGGCGTGCTGTCGTGACGGCTCTTGCGGCGCGCCGCCGTGGTTCGCTTGCTTTTGACGGCTCTGCGCTCGGTCGCGCGTCGTGGCTCTCTCTGCACGCTTATGGCGCAGGTCACTTGATGAACTCGCGCTCACTTTTCTGCGCGCTTTTAAACTGCAGATGACGGGGCTCTTTAGCGCTTTTGAGTGTACACATTTGAAAAGTGATGGCAGTGAGGTCTTGTGAAAGTAATTCGGAATACGTAAAACAATCCCTGATTGATAGACAGTTTGACGTCTATTTTTAGGTTATTGGTTGTCGTATCAATACTGCTTTTCTTCTAGCAGTCTGCTAGCTGAAAGGCTCAAGACAAACAAAGACAACGCACTGGGTACATGACCTCGCATTAACGGAGATGAAAGCGAGGAACAGAAATAACTCTCGAACGGTAATAAAGTTGTTATTTTTGCATGAAAAAGCAATGCTTGTAAATTGCGAAGGGAAATGAATTTCCTTATCAGATATTCCTGCTTTCTTTTCACAAATTTCTTTTTCTTTTCGTAGGTTTGTTAGTTTGTGCACGGGTATTGTGACTCAAAATTGGAGCGAGCAAGCCAAAAGGCACTACGGCGCAAAGCAGCAGGGACTGGGTTAAAGAATTTTACATATATTCAATTTTTTGGACTGCACAATTAGTTCACATCTCTCGCCCACCATCAAACAACTTCTCACTCAGTGTATCAATAACCTGAAGAAAAAAAAAATACAGTACAAATATTTCCACTTGTGTAGGTGATCAACCCAGTATAAAAGGCTCTGGATCAACCAATCGAGCGAGCACGGAAATAGAAACCGGAGCAGCTATCATCCAAGCATTTCAAACTTCGCAGTGTAGCAACTGCTGCCTGGCGAAAACAATAAAAATAAAGGAACAGCTGCACTGCGCGAAAAACTGGCTCCCACGCCACAATGCCCGATTGGAATTTTTTTTTTTTTTTTTCGCGGTGGTGCTTAGATACGTGTTCCCCACCAATACAAGCCTCGTCATCGTCCGTTTATTAGAGCTCAGTTATAAAATTTATTGAGGTTTTTCGTGTTTTGTTTTTTGCTTCCAAAGCACCTGTCAACGTGCTCCTGGCACTAGTTGACCGCGCGCAGAGCAGAAGACATCGCGGTATTACAAAGTCCCTACATACGAGCAACTCTTACAAGCTGCGACATTCTTTGAAGCGCCGACTGCTTGACGGTGCAGTTCTAAGGAAGCGAATGGCGGCGCACAGCAGAAGACTGAACGGAATGGCGCCATTTTGTTCCAGTGGAATCTGCTTCGTCATTTGTATACATGCCTTGAACCTACGTCACATGACGACGTTGAACACCGGTAACAGGTACCCATGCTGGTGGTTGAGTCGATGGTGATTCGCCACAAGAGCCTTGGTAAACTGCGCCGCGCTCGGTTGTAGCAATTGCTAAGTGCCCCGCCCAGCGTTTCGTCGGCACGCCCCGCGACAGAGTAATCATCAAGTGAGAAAAAGTACGAGCAGCAGGAAAGGAATGCGGGCGCGCATTACTGAGTTTGCGGACGGATTTCATAGCGGCGAGCGACCGCACTTTTCTACCGTTGTTTACGTTGGTGCACACCTTTGCCTCTGCTTTCTCCGTTCGTCCTGTGGATACCCTCGGCCTTTCGTTTCATCACGCCGTTTCCACGCTTCAAGCGCACATTTGGGCTGTTTGCCCGGCCAGACGGCGATCGGTCAGCGGCGCCGCCGTGTGCACGCTCACAGAGACGCCGCCGCCGGGGCATCGGCTCGTGCCGTCTGCGACACGATAACCTTTGCAAGGAGCGAAAGTGTGCACGTGAGCTGCTTAGGAAATATAATTTAAACCTTGATACAAGGAGAGTCGTCTTGTTCAGTATTTTTTTCTCCTTTTTTCAGGGTTTAGATTATGACGGTAACCTTACTTTGCTCACCAGTACTTCGCGAGATCGTAAATGTTTTACTACAAGCGGCTTTTTTTTGCCGACAGGATGGTTTTGTTGCGTCAAAACTTCGTTGGCGGCATATGGAAACTTTTTGCTCATAGCGCAATCGCACCCACGCTAGCAGCCGCCTGCCGCTCCTTTTATAACGTCACATTTCTCCACATCGCTAGCAGGGAATCCCGATGGACAATGCCCCGGCCAAAGCGATAGGGCCATTGTCTCAACGTACAGCTATGCCTTTCCTTCTCCCTCAAACACCGCCATTCGCGTCACCCGCGCCGAGGGGCCAGACGTCCTTCGTCGCTGTGTCGCCATCCAAGTCCGGACGGAGGAAGAGGATAATCCATGCGGTAAGGGATAATCCCACAAACGCGCCAGAAGCTAGGAGAAGGCGGAATCTCTCCAAGGCTGTCGGGACGAACTTCGTAAGTCAACTCAATAATCCTTCGTTGGAGGCCACGTTGGCGACCCCAAGGCGCCTCTCGCTTTGCTTCCGGGCACAGCTGACCGGAGCCATCCGCATATTTGTGTACTCTTGTCCCCGGCCACTTAATAAACGTATCCGGTGTGGGCGACGAAAAAATAATAAAACGC